GAGCGACGTCGCCTCCCGTGTGTCGAGCCCTTGACAGACAAAATGCTAACAGACAAAATGCTAACAGACAAAATGCTAACAGACAAAACGCTAACAGATAAAATACTAACAAAACAATAACAGACAGTAATTTACCAGGTTTACAGTGTTTCATACACATTTCTTCAATACGTTTGTGTTTTAGCTTCTTTTTTGTTTTGGTTGTTAGAATTCAGACGAAGAAGAAATCATTTTGTTCCATCATTCATCCCAGATTAATCTGGATTTCTGTTTCTAAATGTCACATTCACCACATCAGGTCGTGTAACTGAGGAGTAAAACTTTTATTACCCCGGTGGTTTAAACAATAAAAAAAACATGTATTTCTTGATGCAAACACGCTTCATTTTCTATTCATTTAGATAAAATGTAAAGAAAGGACATCAACATGCATGGATTTCAGGATTCAGTGCATTTCTGTGAAGGAAAACCTACTTTAATTGACTTTGTTACCTCAGCTCTGTGGTCTAGAGGAGCTGCCAGTATTAGTAATGCTGCTTTGACACTTTCAGGGCAACAAATAGATGGCTAACTTGCCTAAGGCCAACGTCTTTGGCATCAGTGGGAAGAGAAACATTTGCAGCTACAGTTAATTAACTCCAAATACACTAAACATGCCATCTTTTAGGCTTCCTCGCCCCTCTCCTTCACTGGCTCTGCATCCACACAGCATACCTCACGTGAAACTGATAGCTCTGCTCCGGCTAATGAGTATAAGCTGCACACAAACAAATAAAGGAGGGATCTTCTTTATACATGCTTTATCCCCCCCTGAGCCCCCCACATCCCTCCATCCTTTGGAATGTCATCTTCATTTGAAATGCCACATCTGTTCATCTACCTCGCTATAATTGCTAACGGTGACATTTATCCAGATTCCTACTGATTTTACAAGACCTTTACATTTTTCCTAATTGTAGTGGATTTTAGATACTTTTTTCTCGTTCATTATCTGTCTGTCTTTTGTGTATTTTAGGCACAAACAATGGATTAGTGCAGTGGTTCCCAAACTTTTTGTCTTGTGACCCACAAAATATCCAATGGCAAAATCTTGTGACCCCAAATATTACTGGTCTGAGTACACGAATTTCATTAATAACCCTAAAAACACAGGCTTTTTGACAATCTAAACAGC